ATTCAAAACAGTCCTCACATTATCCCTTAGCTGTCTTTTGGGCAGAAAATCAGATTGGTCTTCATGAATATGCCTGTAAGATCTTCTTTAGTTTTTCTGCCAAAATTGCAGCAAAGCATTTATAGTCTTTATTTAATAATGAAATAGGTCTATAATTCTTTATTTTTGTAGCATGTGGACTTTTCTTCGGTAATAACACAATATTGGCTTCTCTCCATGTTTGAGGTATCCTTTCTTCCTGTAATATATCATTCATTATATCCTTTAGAGCAGGGGTGTCAAATTTGCAATGTCACGTAACGTGTCGCGACATATCACGACCTTTTTGCCATTGCAAAAGGGCGGCATTTGACACCCCTGCTTTAGAGGCTGAAGACATTCCTCTTCAAAACACTTATAATATTGACTTGTAAGGCCATCTGGTCCTAGAGCTTTACCTGATTTCATTTTTTAATAGCTTCTGATATTTCAAAGGCAGTTATTGAGTCATTCATAATTTGCCTCTGACTTTGTGATAGCTTAGGGCCTTAGGCAACCTTTGTCTTAAAAGATATTAATCTATTTTAGACATATCTAACTCCTATTTTTTATACAAATTATGAAAAAAGTCTTTTTAACAAGCTCATATTCTGTTATTACCTTATTACCTTCACAAATTTTCTCATTCTCTTTTCCCTTTCCTTCCTTAGTTTATATGCCAATCATCTTCCTGATTTATTTGCAAATTCAAAGTGTCTTTGTTTCACATACTTCAATTTTGTTTCTATTTCTTGAACTGTTAACATAGACAATTGTTGCTGTAACAGTTTAATTTGATGTGAAATTTTAGAATCCAGAGGTGTTTTTTGCAGCTCGATTTCTTTCTGTCTAATTTCATCCAATATCTTTTGTGCCTTTTCCTGAGATCTTTTTCTTCTGTAAGCAGTTGTATTGTATAAAATAACCCATCATAACAGCTTTACTAGCATCCCACACAGTCGTTAAGGTTATCCCTTTACCTAAATTATTATCATTTAATTTCTTTTTGCAATCTTTTATGATCACCCCCTTTTGCAAAATAGATTCATTTAATCTCCATCTATATCTTAAACTCTTTCCTCTAAGTACCAAAAGAACTGGGTTATGGTCAGAAAAAGATTTAGGTAAAATGTCAACTTTCAAAATTTTATTTGCAAGATTTTTAGAAATCCATCTCATATCAATCCTTGAAACTGATTTATGTCTTTCTGAGGAAAAAAAAGTATATTCTCTAGCAGAACCATTTTTGTTTCTCCACGAGTCTGTTAGTACTAAATTGTCCATCATCTCAAAAAAGGTCTTTGGTAATTTACCCTGGGAGGGTTTAATCCCCTTGGTAGATGATCTATCCAAAGCTGGTAAAGTCACTCCATTCCAATCCCCCAACATAAACCAATTTTCATACAAAAAGGGTATTAGTTGATCCATAAGATATTCAAAACATTTACTTTTATCATCATTTAGCCTGTATAGACCCACTACTATTAATTTTATTCAATTAAATTCAGTTACCACTACTACAAATCTACAGGTTCATCTGCTAAAAGTAACTTAGGTTTAAGCTGAGGTTTTATATATAGGGCAACTCCATTAATTCCTCATTCTTAAAAAACCTATAGCATATTTTAAAATCATTTTACAGCTTAATCTTTTGTTATATCTCCTTAATGTAAAATATCTATAGTACAAAATCTGAATTCTGTGTGGATATTGCTTAATTGCAATTTTAAGATTGATTTGCCAATTTCTTTTTTGGATACTGTTGCAACTTTCTAGCACTTTGCTTATGTCTGTTTCTCCTATGCAACATGTATTTTCACTCTTTCACAATGTACATCCTTAGTTAAAGGAAGACACTTTTTTCAATATTCTATTTCTACCATATTTATCTTTTTTCTTTTTCAAAACTATTTTTAAAATAATTTTTACATGAAGGGATATCAAAACAAAATGTTTCAGTTGCACAGAGAATTATCTTCCAGTTGGTATATGCCCATACCACAGAACCTAGGCTTCACAGTGCAGGCAGTAATCATTCTTTCCTCAAACCTTGCTGCTGTTTCCAATTACCTGATTAGGGAAGCTGATTTTTTTCCTAGAACTCCACCTGCTCTATCCTTTCCTTTGACTTTAGTTTCTAGTGGGACAGTGGTTAAAGTGCATTATTGCAGGCAAACTCTACCTACAGCCTGGAATTCAATCCTGATGGGGCTCAAGATTGACTTCAGCCTTCTAGCCTTCCAAGGTTGGTAAAATGAGGGCCCAAATTGTTGGGGATAATATGCAAATAATTCTTCTACATTGTAAATCACCCAAAGAGTACCGCAAAGCACTGTGGTATGGTATATAAGTCTAAATGCTATTGCTATTCTAACAGACACATGCAAGTTTATTAGTGAAGCTTTTCATGGAGTGAAGATAAATAATAAAGAAATTATAGATCATAGAATAGAATAGAATAGAATAGAATAGAATAGAATAGAATAGAATAGAATAGAATAGAATAGAATAGAATAGAATAGAATAGAATAGAAGGGACCTTGGAGGTCTTCTAGTCCAGCCCCCTACTCAAGCAGGAGAACCTATACCATCTCAGACAAGTGACTGTCCAGTCTCTTTTTAAAAACCTCCAGTGATGGAGCGCCCACGATTTCTGAAGGCTAGCCGTTCCACTGGTTAATTGTCCTCACTGTTAGGAACTTTCTCCTTAATTCCAGGTTGCTTCTCTTTTTGATCAGTTTCCAACCATTGTTTCTTGACTTGCTAAACTTTAACATACTGTTCAATAGAGTAATAAGATTAGAAAGTGGAAAGAAATGATGACAAAATGATTATTTTACCAGTTCAATATTTTAAATTCAAATTTCCCTTTGGAATAAATTCTTCTTTTGGAAAAACCATTTGTTAGTTACATCTAACATATTTTGAAATGTATTAGCTTATTAAGATGAATGTATCTAGAAATATCTAGTAATTTCTCAGTTAGAAAAAAAGTTTAAATAGTAATTAGGAAGGATTATGGGAATTGATCCTTCTTTTTGGGTCTAGAGGGTGATTGATTGCCTCATTGGATTTCTTACCTTTATTAGACAGGATTTATATTATCAGTGTTTATATGAAAATAGAATATTTCAACATTGAATGGAGATATGTAATGCTGGGCAGGAGTAATGATTGATAGAGAAGAGAGAGTGGGTTAGGTAATGGTGAGGCAGGGGCACCAGTAATGTGGATGAACTTGTGGAATGAGGGGAAGGATGCTGCCTAAGAAACAGTTGGACAAGAGAGGCCAGAGCCCCAGTGGCTTAGCAGTCAGAGAAAGAAACTTGGGAGGGACCTGCCCTAATGGATCAAGAGGTTAAAAGCAGTGGCAGAAAGTTTGTACTTTCAGATTTGCAAGATTGATGTCAGCCCTCCCAGGTAAACTAGACTGGAAAAATGACTAGATACGTTAATTCAGCTTTATTGTGAGGGTATATTAACAGAAACGTGCAAATCTGAAAGTACAAACTTCCTGTCACCATTTTTAATCAATTAGGATGAGTCCTTCCTAAGCTTCTTTCTCTAACATTATGCCACTGGTCTCTCTTGTCTGGCTGTTTCCTATGTAGCATCTCCTCCCTTTGTTCCTCAAGGTCATCCATACATTTTATTACAGTACCTCACTAAATTCCTCTGCTATATAATAGTTGAATTACTATGAGGTTACGTAAAGGATATGGGAGAAAGGAAAGGAAATGTGATTTAATTACAGTTGATCAGGTTTGGCTAATAAAATATAGAGAAGACAAACTTAAACTGGTCAAGATGGAAAATGAAATTTACCATCGTTGAAGTTACTTTAGTTCTGGCATGTTAACAAAATAAGGAATATAGGAGAATTGTTATAGATAAGCAATAGTGCCTGATTAGCGGCAAGACAATGTTTTCTAGCTTCCTTTAGTATCTAACAAGACATCTATCTTGAATTATGATTAATATATAAATATTACCAAACTGTAATTATCCTATTAATTTCTTAAAATGCTCAAGGTTGATTGGCAATGCTAGTAAAGTATAGTCTAACCAAAAAAGCCTATTCTCTTCAAAAGATATTTTTAACAATAAAACAGTTCCATGTATAAATCCTAACAAGTGAATCTGACATTAATTACTCTGGGCTGTTTTTAAAAGCAAAACCAAAAGAAGCAAAACAAAACAAACAAAAACAAGCCTGCAGTCAATTTCTGATATAACATATCAGCAATGAGAGTTAGGAGTTCTGTGTGGAAGATGTTTTCTCCTTTGCTCTGTCTTAACTTCCTTTTTTTAGTCCATCCCACCCCACTCTACCCCACCCTCTCACTCATCCACCTGCCCCCACACTTTTCTGTCTCTTTCCTGATTTGGCTGCTTAGGGACAGTCAGGTAATGGAGAAGAAATTGAAAGGAAAATACAGGGAAAATGTAAATGAAAAGAAGTTATTATAACTGTTATAATGAAGTGCCTTTCATTTAAATATAAGAATGTAACGCTGAAATGAACTTGTGATCCTGAAATGCATTTTTAATGAGTTTCCTTTTTATTTTGCTGCTTCAGTGGCATATTTTAAAGACCCTTTGAAAAAAGCCACATTAAAAAAACCCACCAAATGCCACAACATGCAAAATTGGATATTGGTTTATTCCAAAACTGCTGATCAGGAAGAGTGGCTCTTCAACACAAAATGTTGCAGTCACTTTATTTAAATGAGTTTGAATTTGCATTGTGATGTGCCATTCTGATTTAGAAAAAAAATTAGATTTTCAGATCAAATTGACCCAGCCAGTGAAGCATTAAGGAACTGGCAGGTTTAGTCTGAAAGGCTCATGTTATATCAAACCTGCAGCTGGTGGAAGTCACAGAGCGCCAGTTGGAAAACAACTTTCTCACTGAAATCATCCTCCTATTACCTTGTAAGAGTTTTGTTCTCACATATTTTTCCCTCTCATTCTCCCTGTAGGCGAACGCCCCTTCCAGTGTAATCAGTGTGGGGCATCCTTTACTCAAAAGGGCAACCTTCTCCGCCACATAAAGTTACACTCCGGCGAAAAGCCCTTCAAGTGCCACTTGTGTAACTATGCTTGCCGTCGTAGAGATGCTCTTACGGGCCATCTGAGGACCCATTCCGGTAGGTTCCATGATAGAAAATTCTAGAAAAGTTTTGCTTGCTACTTGGCCAAGCCAAATTATATCTACCAAATGATTTGAGATTAATGCTAATTTAGTTGAGGTTACTTCTAATCTCAGTTGAAACCAAAGGCCTACTAGATATTTGGTTAGTTGCATTTCAATTAAATTTTCAGGTAGACTAGCCCACAACAGAACAGAATAACAGACTGGAACAGCATATTTCCTATCAGTTTGTATGCAGCCCAGCAGCCCATATATTTTTTTCTTATTATCTTTTGCCTGTTTGTGAGATCACAAGAGTTGTCAAGTATAGAGCAAACTATAGATTTGATTCAGAACTATTTATTATTTTTAATAAATGGTTGGCCATGTATTAGCATTGTAAAACACAATGAATCATAAATTTACAAACTACATATGGCCAACAGTTCCATAGATGGGGCCAACCCAAATACATAGTTATAAAATATAGGTTATTCCTTATATCTTTATATATATAGGAACAACTTGCCTCCAGAAGTTGTGGTTTAAAAACTTAAAAACTAAAGGTTTTTAAGAAGACATTGGACAACCATTCATCTGAATTGGTGTAGGGTCTCCTGCTTCAGTATGGACTAGAAGACCTCCAAGGTCCCTTCCAATTCTGTTATTCTGTTATTCAGCTGCAGAAACATGGGTTATTTGATAACTAAAAAAACATCATAGTCAATCTGTTTTATAAAGATAGAAGTAATAATGGACAAAATTAACAGCTAAAATTTCTTTACCATTAGATATAAGCATTTAATATTACATGCATAGAATGCAGGTTTGAGCATTTAAACAATTTTCAAGTCACAATTTCATGTTTATAGCTTTTCTTGTAGAAAAGTTACAAAATAACTTTTCAAAGTGATTTTAAAATCAGGCAAGTTTTATTCATTATTAAATTTATTTGTATTTGAACTCAAATCTTCAAGCCAGAGTTAAGCAAATTCTAATCTGGCAATTTTTCTCTCTTACTAGTGGCAGTTTTCCCAGGATATTTTGAGTCAATGAGCCTGTTTTCATTACAACATGACCAAATTACATACCCCCAAAATTGCAGTAAAAATTATCCTTTTCATTCTTCAGGATGGCTGTTGAGTCTGGCTGTTTGTACTTATTTGATTCACATTATCTGGACTAAATTATTCCAGACCTCTTTGAGTTTCTACAATAAATTCCATTTTCCCCTGCAGTTGGCAAACCTCATAAATGTGGATATTGTGGTCGGAGTTATAAGCAGCGAAGCTCTTTGGAAGAACATAAGGAGCGCTGCCACAACTATTTACAAACCATGAATCTTTCAGGTGGCATATATCCGGGTAAGAATACAAAGCAAAAGGCAAGATTAGCTTCAAAATAAGATGCAATTATAAGGCCCAATTTTATGAGTAATCCAGTGCTCTCTTGGAGCACTAACATTTTTAGGAGCTGTAGAAAGCACTGATAAGTTTAAGGGGGAAGGGACTGATCAAATTCCCAAAGGCAGAGAGATTGAATGTGAGAAATAGCTATTGGCCTCTTGTTTGGTTACTATTGCTCAGTTGAAGTTGAGCAAGTGATCCTTCCTGTTGTTTTTTTTTTGCCTTATCTTTGAATGGCTACTTTTATGCTGCCCACTTTCTTTCCCTTGCTTACTTTCAAACAGCTACACCTTTTTGGAGAATTTTATAGATGATCTTATTGTCATAGCAATAAGAAGCTATTTCTTCTTTCTGTTTGCAGGTTCAATAGTGTGATCATCTATCTTCCCTGCCTTTCTCAAACAGTAATCCTCCTTTCCCCCACTGGCTCCAATACTGAGAATTAATAGGAATATCTGGGAAACCTCCAAATATGAGATAGAATTTTTTTATCTTCCAAGAAAAACAAGTTCTTTGACATGGAAATTATTTTAGAAGCAATATTCTTTCTCCTATTCTTGTTTCAGCACTCATTAATCAACCATTTCAGTGATTGCATATTATAAGGTACAAACACACATACAGTCACATTTATTTGAAAGGGGACAATTCATGCTTATTCCATCTTTGCTGAATGCACAGTAAAATATGGACATCCATTAATAATGTGCATAGAGAAACAGATGGAGACCACTGTTCCTTAAAGTTGAGATAACTATTGGTTATGAACACTTCGGTTGCATACTAATTGCATATCTGAATGGATTAGATATGAATGATCAGACCAGTTATATACAAGTCTTCTTATACACTTTTTTAAAAGCACACATTCATTTTGCATTGGAACAGTTTAAAGCAGAATGCCCCACAAGGCTATTGCATATTTTCTGAAGGCATATTTTGGATTACTGGAAACACAATTCCTAACATTGCCATCAAACACTATGTGGAAAGTAAGGTCCTTTCAGGAAAAGATACAAACTGTATCGAGTCCTTGTAACAAGACTAGATAAAGCATTTTTGATATACCTATTACTGCGTGTATAATGAAAAAGAATTAAAATTGCTTTGATCCTGTCAATGCATTTTAACTATTTCCTTGCTCATAATTACATTTCTGCTAGCAAATTATATGGCTCATGGCAGACCACAATAAAAACATTATCAAATCTCAAAAAACTCCAAATAAATAAAGAAATGTATAGCAGTTCATTAGCGGAAGTAACTCAATGAAAATAATATAATTCCAACTGCATCAACTACTTCAATTATTAGCAACATAAAAATGGGTAATATTCCAAGTCCTGCAGTTTTCACTTTGTAACAGAATGCCAAAGCCTGTGCTAATTTAGCTTTCAGGTAGGCTGATCCATCATGTGGGAGACACTATGGCCCCTTCAGTCTAGAAATAAATGATCAGCTCAGTTGGAATATATAATAGCACAGGATATAATGGTTGTATCAGGTGGAAGTCCTGAAGATAGTTTTTGCAGATTATCTTGTCAGTAGGTTATGTTGTTTTAAGTTTCATATGCAGCTGCTACATTTAATGTTTTTGGACAATAGCACTTAGGCTTATATACCACTTCACAGTGCTCTACAGCCTCTCTAAGCAGCTTACAGAGTCAGCATATTGCTCCCAACAATCTGGGTCCTCATTTTACCAACCTCAGAAGGATGGAAGGCTGAGTCAACCTTGAACAAATCAGAATCGAACTCCTGGAGTGAGCAGTACTGCATTCTAACCACTGCACCACCACAGCTCTGTGCTTGTATAGCTGTCACATTTTCAGATAATCTAAAGTTAATGTCTGTCAAAATAGTGTTGGAAAGCAGCTGAGATGCTTCTGACAATTGATGCAGTTTTCACTTTGTAACAGAATGCCAAAGCCTGTGCTAATTTAGCTTTCAGGTAGGCTGATCCATCATGTGGGAGACCTTTTCATTTTTGCTAAGTTGGGAACTTTTAAATATAGCAAATTGATTTACACAAAGGGTTACTTTTGGTTCTAGATTATAATAAGCATCTATGAGACTGTGTGCTAAACTATTTATTTCAAAAACAATATACATATGGATTGTATTATGACCAATCAAAATATCCCAAATATGCAGGTATTTAAACTCACCATATTTATTAATCAGACTAGAGGACACATAAATCAGAGTATCACAACAGGAATAAACCAGACCAAATTGGGCTATATTTTTTCACACAAATTTGTACTTCCAACTCAGTATAGATGATTGGAAATACTTTGTAGAGATCCAGTAATATAGCAATTGCACAAAAAGTTTGAAAATAATTTTGAATCAGTTGACATAAGCCCCACATTTAAAAAGTTCAGTGGAGTGATTAAGGACAATGCTTTAATAGACAGCCAATGATTTATAACCAAGTAGAAAATAGAAAAGGTTTAGGTGTTGGGATAAGGCAAAATCATTCTTTTGCACAAGAACAATGAATTCAACACAGAGCAAGAAATATGAGTGGTAGAGTATGAGCAGTATGTGAATGCCACCAGGTAACCATTGTAGGAATGATGGATTGTATAAACTGTAGCAAGTATCTTCTTTGCAAATATACTCTTGATAACAAGTGGTTTGTATTAAAGTAACAAAAAAAATTCAAAATCTGTTTCTCTTCTTAAATAGCACTATGGACAGAGATTTCTGAGCTGCTTTACAATGAAACAGTAACTTGAAGATCAGAAACTGTTATGGGAGAGGAACAGAATTCCCTCCCACAATGAAAGAGGGAAGTAGAAAATTATTAAAGATCATTGATTCACTTAATTTATATTGAGTCTTCTGATTGATCTTTACTTCAAATTTAAACCTGGAGTCTCACAAGCTGCCTCTAGAATACTCTAGAGAAAAAAAAAATAAGGAAGCTGTAGAATAACATATCTAGAATTATCCCACAACTTCTTCATTTCTTAGGAATATAGATACATACATACATACATATATACATCTTTTCCATAGCAAAACAAGGCGGTCTTCCTTAATGAGGGTCTGCATTAGAATTCAGTGATATATTTTTCTCTATTTCTCCTGGAAAACATATACAGGCCTCTTGGTTAGAAAGAAAACATCCTATTTTGCTTGAGTATTAGTTAGGACTTGTTACTCCCTGCTGGAGTCCAAGAGAGAAGAAACAGGGAGTTATCACAGGGCATTTCCTTCCTCCACATTTTTGCTTTATGCCAGGGGTGTCAAACTGCCGACCCATGGGCCAGATGCATCATAGCAAAACCACGCCCACTCCATTGCCAGCAATGGCAAAAAAAGTCACAATACGTCGCAACATGTCACGTGACATTCCAAGTTTGACACCCCTGCTTTATGTCTATGTTTTATATGTTGTTTTTTAATAACTGCTATGCACACTCACAAAGTCACTGGTTACCACTGTCACAAACTATGCTGCGCTTTTGTTACTGTTGATTTGTTTTTCAGAGAAGGGCTTTATTTTAAAAAGTAGGTAGGACAAAGAAATGGATGAAAGCAGAAGGAAAAAGTAAATCTAAGTTGAACTAAATCTTAATTCAAATTAAAATAGGAAGTATTTATATAATTATGTCCATATATTTAATACATTTCATATTCTCTTGTATTAAAAATGACAATGGGAACTTGGATTTTGCATCTCTGTGTCAGAGGATTTAATTATCAGCTACCCCAAGCTACCTTTCTTTTTGTTGCTTCTCAGCTTTAGAGCCTGACTGTCAGCAGAGTTTCAGAAAAAATGGAAAATAACTGTGCCTTAAACATCTGGTGTCCTTTAACACTTTTTTCCAGTCTTGAAAGAGGAAACTAGCCAAAGTGAAATGGCTGAAGACCTGTGTAAAATGGGATCAGAGCGCTCCCTTATGCTGGACAGGCTAGCAAGTAACGTCGCCAAACGTAAGAGTTCTCTGCCTCAGAAATTTGTTGGTAAGAACTAAATGTTGCTCCCTCGTTTTCCTGATTGGATTCTTCCATTTTGTTTGTACTTCTGTATAACAATAGAAAAAGCAAAACAATTAACCAAAAATGTGGATTCCAAGCTGCTCTTAGCAGTGGCCAATAAAACAGCACTGACATGATTTAAAGTTTCCAAAAAGTGTTTTACCCCTGCGATTGAGGAAAGCAGACAGAGTGGATACAGAAATAGCTTGTTTGTTTGTTTATAAAATTTATATGCCACCCATCTTGTATCCAACAACTATGAGTGGCTTACAACATAACAAACATTAGAAACAATAATATCCATTATAAATAGCAGGAAAAAAATTAACAATCTTAAAGATAATATGGCAAAGAAGGATGCTGGACACATGGGAGGGAGATGGCATTGAACTTAATTAACCAACCACCTCCAGTATGAAGCTTCACACATAGGGAAAGATATGTAAGATAGGAAAATGATATCCATACTTGGTGGGATCTTTGGGATACAAAAACTCTGGACATTATCATTCTTAGCAATTGATGTAATCTAACATGGAATCAATTATTTACCAAGATTGAATCTATGTCTTTTCAAATAGAACAACTCTCATGATTCCTGCCTTGGCAATTGATACTGATTAAAGTTAATTCAGCACCTTGAAGAGTCATGGATTCACCATTCCTAAAATTGCACTTCTGAGATATTTGTAGTCTCTCTGAGAATACTAGAGTAATTGAATGAGAAGTAAGACCTTCGACTTGAGCAAAAACAGTTTTTCTGATTTGATAGTTTTCTCTTATGTCTCCTATAATCTCCCCCTTTTTTTGGTGAAAGTCCAACATGGGCTATAGTTTAAGGTAAATCTACTGTTCCAATGCTTATTCTGATTGATTCAACTTCATATAATCTCAACTAAAAAAGAGTTGTTGTTGTTGTTAGTTGCAAAGTCTTGTCCGACCCATCGCAACCCCATGGACAATGTTCCTCTAGACCTTCCTGTCCTCTACTATCTTCTGGAGTCCATTTAAGCTCATGCCTATTGCTTCAGTGACTCCATCCAGCCATCTCATTCTCTGTCATCCCCTTCTTCTATTGCCCTCAATCTTTCCCAGCATTAGGCTCTTCTCCAGTGAGTCCTTCCTTCTCATTAGGTGGCCAAAATACTTGAGTTTCAACTTCAGGATCTGGCCTTCTAAAGAACAGTCAGGGTTGATCTCCTCTAGGACTGACCGGTCTGATTGCCTTGCAGTCCAGGGGAGAGAGAGAGAAATAATTAATAGCAACACATGAGGTAATGATAAAATTCAGCTTTTGCAGCCAAATCTACTGATTATATGTAGTTTACCAAGAATAATGTCTTAATTTTTATAATGTTGCTTAGAAATGGAATGAACACTTATGTTACAGTGTGTTTAGTACACAGAAGATATTCATGTATATGCAGAATTTTTTTACTAACATTTTGAAAACTATTCATCCAGTTCACTATACTTCGCTTCCTATCAGTGCTTCCAAAACAGCATGAAAACTATATAAAATTCATATGTCCTATCAGTATAATATTGAATACTTCAGTAGTAATTCAAATGCACAACAAAAATGATTTCATAAAACTCTTAGTCTTGCAGAGCATAATTGCATGATACAGGAATAACAGCATTATTAAGAGAACGATATTGCCAGATGCATAGGCCTGACACTCAGGAGATGTGATAGTAGTGTTCCATATTGCTGCCCAGAAACTTTTGTAATATAGTTAGCCTCATCAGATGACCTTACATTGTACTGTAGATGAAAATTACTCACAGACTTTCTTAAGTTCAGAAACATTATCTAAATAAAGTGCCACATATTTTTCCAGAAGAATACAAAATCTATGAACATGGAACAAACATGGATTTTCAATAATTTTGAGAAGAACATTTTTGGTTATGGATTAGTCCTGGCATGGGACTAGAGGAAGATGCAATTTTCATGCTCTCACTTCCTTATTGACATAATAAGAAATCTTGCCAGCTATGAAGACTTAGAAGAGTAGTGTTTCCTGTCAGTTATTCACAGTGTGGCGTAAGAAGATAACAATAATGACAGCAAGAATTTTAGTAAGACATGGACGTAGGCTCTAAAAACATGAAGGCTTTATCAAAATGAAATCAAGTAACTCAGATGCTTAGTAGCCACAATTCTGCTTTGGTCACAAGAAAGAATCTCTTTTCCCATTAGGTGATAATTCTGTCCCCCCTCCAATGTTGGATCATGCTAATTGTAAGGACTCACTTCAATCCCACATCTTAAGAAAGCAGAACTCTTGGAGACGGTTTCCTCCAACAGGAACTTTTATTAAAAGTAGTTGATAGCAGGCATAATAGACATGATCTGAGGGATTCCTTTACAGATCAATACTTTAAAGTGTCCCCAAGCCAACCCCACCCCACAGTTCATCCGGACGGCTCAGATCGGCCAATCCACAGGTGTTAAAGTCCATTGTGGGAAAGGGGAGATAACATCAGTGTGGCTTCGGTCGTAGCACGATGTTCAAGCAGCTCTTTGCACCTCCTTTTGAGACCAGAGAAATAAGCCAGGCTCCAGAGGTTGTATTTCTTTCTCCCCCTTTTTTCCTAGCTGACAGGTTTGGGAGAAGAAAGTTCAGAGAGAGCTGCAGTGTAGGAAGCAAATTATTACATTGTAGCAGGCAGCGGACACAGAGGCAATAATAAAGTAAAAGGTTACATTGTAGCAAATAGAGGAAGCGAAAGCAATAACCCCGCAGGCATATTCCCCCCTCCCCATTGGGAGTATGGCAGAACTCAGGAAAAAGTGAGATTTGTTTTTAGATTAGAGGAGATAGATAGAAATGAAATAGAAATGGGTTCTGACACTAATATTTCATTACAGTTCTATATAAGTTGTAGTTAATTTCTAGAAAAAAAGAGAAAGCTTCTAGTTTCAAACATAACTCAGTGTGGAGGTATTCTTAGGAATTACTGATTTACAAAGTCTGATCTTCTGCATTGAGTAGAAAATTGGATGAAATGATGAAGAATCTCCAGGACTGGATGCCCTGCTTTTTTGAAATTAAAAGCAAGTGGAGGGGAATTTAATTCTTGTTCTCAAGCCACTGTTCCAGGCTAATAAACCTTTTTCCTCCCCTACAGAAAGCTGCTATTTGACCCATACAGGAATAAAAGTATGTTTCCAATTCTGGAGAAAATAAGTTTTAGGACATGAGAATTTTTAGCAGAGGTTTATTTGCTATGTTACTACTCTGCTCATCTGACTGCCATTTTCCATCATAGGTATTTTAACTTCTGTCACACAAGTCTGATTCTATGAGAAAGGAAAACAGAATATTTAGAATCATGGAAGGTAGCAAAAGCAGCATGCACATGTACTTTGTCCAATCTATTACAATGCTTTGTTCAGGAAATTGCTTTGCAGAGAATATAAAGTTATGTGAGAAAAATAGAGTGATCTCGATTCTGCTTCTGCAGGAGTTTCAAGTTGGTACGACCAAGCCTTTCTCAGCTTTGCTCTCTTTCTCATAGCAAACTATGTCAGGCTATGTCACAAAGGAGCCATATTTGGGAGTTATCTCTCTGAGCCCAGAACTCTCTCTCTATATATATAAAAAAACTCCCTTTCCACATACAGCAAGCGTATGGAATCTCTGACAGCTCACAGGTATGGTGTGGCATGTGAAGGTCCACACTCCAAAGGATCAGGTTTTATCTCCCAATAAGAGGAGTTAAAAAAATACAAAGGCATCTACTTTTGGAAGGAAGGAAGGAAGGAAGGAAGGAAGGAAGGAAGGAAGGAAGGAAGGAAGGAAGGAAGGAAGGAAGGAAGTCTTCAAATGATGAATTATATTAATCAAACAAAATAATAGTCACAAATAGTCAGAAAATTGGCAAGTTCAGCTGAATTCCGAACAGTGATTCTGCTAAAATGTATTAGAAATATTTCATTTTAGAATCTTTGCCTTTGTGCACACCTTCTCAACTTACTACCTTTGTGTACAGATTATTCATATTTTCCCAATGTCATTATCGATTCTTATTGATCAGGCCTGATGTCTAGAAAAATATTTCAAAACCAAGCCTAACTATGATATATTTTGGATTGCAGGTGAGAAATGTATATCTGATATTCCCTATGATACAACCACCAATTATGAAAAGGAGAATGATATGATGCAAACCCATGTCATTGACCAAGCTATTAATAATGCCATCAATTATCTAGGGGCGGAATCTTTGCGCCCTTTGGTGCAGACATCCCCTGGTGGCTCAGAAGGAGTGCCTGTCATCAGTCCAATGTATCAGCTTCACAAACCCCTTGGAGACAGCCATGCTCGAGCCAATCATGCAGTTCAGGACAGTGCAGTGGAAAACTTGCTACTACTTTCTAAAACCAAGTCCATCTCTTCAGAAAGGGACCCTTCACCCAGCAACAGTGGCCAAGACTCCACCGATACTGAGAGCAATAATGAAGAACGTAGTGGTTTAATATACCTAACCAACCACATAGTGCCTCATGCACGGAATGGCCTCTCCATAAAAGAAGAACACAGGCAGTATGATGTCCTAAGAGGAAGCAATGACAGCTCCCAAGATGCTTTCAAAGTAATCAATGGCAATGGGGAGCAAGTAAAAGTCTACAAATGTGAACACTGTAGAATTCTTTTTCTAGACCATGTAATGTATACCATCCATATGGGTTGTCATGGATTCCGTGATCCTTTTGAGTGTAATATGTGTGGCTATCACAGCCAGGATAGGTATGAGTTCTCTTCCCACATAACTCGAGGGGAACACCGTTTCCACATGAATTAAAACTTTTGCTGTATGCAGTATTTGGAGCAATGTGAACAGCAGCCATAAAGAAAAAGAAAAAACACAATGAGCAGGATAGTATTCAATAAAAATACATATCAGAAAGCTGAGCTGCCAGAAATGAGCTCTTCTTGTAGCATGCATTCATGAGACAGTTTTATATTAACAATAGTGGGGTGGTTTTTTTTGCAAATGTAGGTAACCAAAATGTTAGTGTAGTAAACAGAAACTTTTAGTTAAGTAAAAGAACCTCTTTCTTGCTAGCAAGTGCTTCTTGCAAAATCTCACTCCCACCCCCATCCCTTATTTAAGGCTGTTAATTGTGCACACTCATCTCTGAATTTGACTGAAATGTAGAAAGATAAACTTAGCATATTTTTATGCAGATGTTTTGAAAATACACTTTTTACACCATAACATTTTTGTAATAATTTAGTGTATTAATTAAATCAACAATCTAGAGTTAGAACAAATTAAAAACCACTTATTTTTCCACCTATCCTTTGTCTCAACAGAAACATTTTTTTTCTAACTGATAAGATGTGAATGCTCTGATCCCATGATTTAGTTAATGGAAGCAGAGTATGGACAGAAGAATTTATGTATTGCTCTGAAAATAGAGCAGCAATGCTGTTATGTTAATTATAGATATAATTTTTGTGAGTTATTCAAAGAAAAATCTACTTGCACCAATTAATTTCTGAAAGCATGAAGTGCTTTGCCCAAATCCAGATCTTTTAAGTAAAAATAACTTCAAGAACCAATGACTCAGTTTTACTAGAACTACAAACTAATCTTAAACAGATTCAATGTGAATCAACTGCAGTCTGATTGGTGAAATATAAAAGAAAGCCTGTTGTATAGTTTGAAACAATTACATATGTGCTGTATTTTTATCTGTTCTTGCCTTATAGCTGTGTGGTATTCTGTTTCTCATGAAACTGAGTTTATAAAACAACTTGAAATCCTGGGAAGGGAATACCAATGTTGTTAAACAATGTTTTGTTTTTTTTCCTTAAAAGCACATCATCATCACTTGTGCAACTTTTAGGTATAGAAGAAGGGAGGACATTTTATTAGGGTTATTATGTGAAATTCCATTTTCACATTGTTAAATATTGATGCTGGTAGCTTTTAGTCTTATTAGTTGTGGATCAATACTGATAAATAACACATGACAAACTATATATATTCAGTATATATTCAGTATGGTTTCATTTGATTCAGTTGCATAAGGCTGTTCATACATATCCAAATGTTTTATGTAAAACATGCCCAATTAGGATGAGGCCTTTTTTATAGATCAATTTGGCATATTATTGATAAGTGGTCCATCTTATTGCTGATTGTAAAACTGATGATAAAGTCTCCACCAATACACATGTTTGTTGTTTGTGGTTTTAATGGTGCATCTATTAGAAAATAGGGAAAACTACAACTTTGAGGTTATTTGAAGGTCTTTTGAAAAACTCAGTACAGGGGTACTTTGGTACTTATCCTTAATTGATTCCAGGAGGTGCGACGAGCATGAAAAAGATGAATATCAAACAAATTATGTGACTTATTATGACCCTTTCTTTTGGCCGGGAAGACTTCTTATCTGTTCCTTTTTCCTATGTCAGCAACCTTCCAGCATGGCTGACTTCCTGTCTGCTCTCTGCAGCTGTCTCCCACTTCCTTTTGCAGCAATTTTCCCAGCATGGCCGACTTTCTGTTTGCTTTCTGCTGCTGTCCCCCACTTCCTTTTGCACTGTGTTAAGCACCAAACAAATGATGAGGACCAGAATAACATTTTCCCATCAAAATGTGTCAAATACCAAAACCGGTGAGTTTTGAAGCAGTCGAGAAACTATCAAGTTAAATCCTTCCTGCAAACCCTATACTTTGTTCAATTTGCACTTAAGGTGCATTTTTGTTTTTATAATAGTTTTATCTCTGTTCTTCAACTTGAAGAATTTTGTGTGCATCAATTTAATAACAGTGAAAGATTCATACATTATATAACAAGTTTGTCATGGGGTATATGTTGAACAGGGAGTCACAACCGCTTCAGATACACTTTGATGCACTTCGATGACACATTTTACCAAACATTTATCATACTCTGCACATTTTTAGTAAATATTTTAAAGTAATGAAGCATACACCTAAAACTATTGCCCCTTCTAATTGGCCTATTCTATGTCTGGCTTATAGATTTATAATTTCTAAGAGTGGCTTTTCACTGCTGAGATTTCATTTTGATTCATCATTTTTCATAAGCACAAGCTGCTCACTACATTGCACACACTGATTTTTTCCAAATGCATAGATTGGTCTATGTTCACATTCCTTGGAATTTGAGGCTTGGCTCCATTCACTGAACAAAATTATCAGTTTGTAGTTGAACATCAGTGCGATGATGATACTTTGAACTAAGTAATCCTAAACAATCTTCTGTAATTTCAAAGACCACAAGATATAAGTACATTTAAAATTAATATACTTTATTTTTGTATAGGCATCAACTAATATATGATCAGAGTTTATGGTGTTTCTTGTTCTAGTTTTTTCTCTTTAACATTGAAAGCAAATATACTTTAGGGAAGGATAATATTAATAATCTACACTGTACTGACAAGGCCCATCATTGGAATTGCCATGTTTGCCACACATGTTTGTCTTGTTTGTTTGAAAATAAATGACCAGGCTTTTATTTTTATGTATACTTTGATAAATTGATATTAATTTAAGTTTTGTTTGATAATGCCTCAATTCTGTAAATAGCGACTGAGAGCTTGTACTTCAGCTTTATTTTGGCGCTGCCTTTTAAACCTGTATTACAGACATTTTTGCTGTGGTTTTATACTGTATTCCTAATAACTTTTTTGACCAATGTATTTAAAACACAATGAAGTGAATTTCATAAAAACTGTAATTTTTGTCTGAAGGCAAAGATTAATCATTTTGCAATACAGAATATTTGGAACATTTCTTCTAAGGAATAGAAAATATAGCATGATGAACAGTCTTCAGATTCTGGCTAAGTGTGTATACATGTAACTATGTTGAGAGAGAGTGCAGGGAGAAGGGGGGAATTACAAACAAAAGATTGTAATTTGTAAAGCAAATACTACCCAAGGGTCTTTTAATGCCACAGAAGAATTGTCTTTTCTATAAGTAGTTAGAAGAATTAAACTGTTATTTTTGGCATATTTGTAAAAGTATCATGGGCACTGCCATAGAATTATTATTGGAGGAAGAGTCTCACAGAATAACAATCAACAAAAAGTAGTAAAAGGACTAATAAAACTTTTTGTAATTAAAACAGTGTTATTTAAATTGCAGTGTGGAACTACAGTTTAATTGTTGAATTGTTTTGACCAAAAATCAAAGTTACTCCTATTCAGCACAGATCCCACAGCATTCATTCTCACTCTTTTACTGCTTTTTGTTGCAATAAGATTCATTATCATCTGTTATCAATATTCTCTTTTTTATTTTATTTTATTAAGAGAAGAAAAGAAAAATTGACATTTGACATTTGACATTTGACTAATTTGACTAATTTAAAGATAAACTAATGAGCTACTCATCAGTTTCCTTTTTAGTTTTTATGAAGCAATGTAAGGGATTATATTCATGTAGGATGCTAGTAATTAAAAAATATAGTGAATCTGAGAAGCCACTATTGCCTTTTGCTAAAGTAGTAGGAGACAGGAAGCCTAAAATCAAATAATAAATTTAAAGGAAAAAAGTGTACTAAATAATATGATTGCAATAGTATCTAGATAATATACTTTGTAAATCTGAGTAAAAAAGGCAACAATCCTAAACAACTTATTTACATAAGACATGAGGAACTTGGGATTTCAAATGCTATTGAATTAGTATTCTCAGCAGGCCTTAGCCAATGATGAAAGATACTGAGACTACAGGCCCCTAAAAATTTCATATCCATCTCCAGACTTCTTGCTATTGGGCAATTTTGAATATTCACATCTGATGCTGGAGCGGTGGTTCAGGTTAAGGATTTAACTGATTTCTCATGCATTGTTTGCATATAATATCTGATGATAAGGATGCCTATACTGATGGTCATGACTTAAATCATGATTAAATATGTCATGGAACTTTACTAATATGTTATCAGACAACACATACAGATGGCTCTATGACTTTTTTTTTCAGATCTAAGTAGTGGTGGGATTCAAATATGTGAACAACTGGTTCTCTGTGTGATGCCACTTCTGGAAGTCCGTTTGGGCCTGGGCAACAAAAAAATTAGCTACCTGTTCTGCTGAACTGGTGCGAACCAACCGAATCCCACCACTGGATCTAAGCAAGTAGAGGGTAAAGTAGATGATCTCACATTTAGGCTTATTGTCATTTTTAGATCACTATCAATTTAGGTACAGATTTTCAGTTACTTTCTGCTTTATCAGGATAGGAAATAATTAAAATAGATTCTGTGGAGCAAATGGAATTTAATAATTTATATTATGCCTGGCCAAATTATTGCTTTTTTCACTAGTTATGCCAACATATCTATCCTTATCCTGGCAGTGTCTTACTCTTTCATATCCAAATGGAGGCCTTAAAACAACCAAATAGATTTACAGTCTGTGATAGAGATGGATCAACTCGTGGAAAAACAGGTAGGTTTTATGGATAAAGACTGTTTTATAACTAAAGACAACAGCATTAGCTATAATCTTTTCAGATCAGGAAAGGCTTGGCATTTCTCATGTTTTCTCACTGGATTACTAAAATGCATTATCATTCTATTTCCTTTAAAAACATCTCAAAAACTTCATTAAACTTTCAAATACTAATGGGTACTGGCCAAAAAACATCATGGAACATCAATCCTTTGCCAATTAAGTGTCAGTCACTGTTAAGTCCAAAATCAGAATCCTGGTGCTTATTTTTGAAATCCTGAACTTAAGATCAAAGTACTTCACAGCATATTTTATCCCATATACTTTTAGGAACTTTGGTCATCTTTAAAGACTTTCCACAGATGCCCAATCAAATCAGGACCTGACAAATTATGTAATGTATT